GGCAGCCGCATGAAAAGAATGAACATAGATCGTTATCTTTTGCCATACACAAAAACTAACTCAAAATGGATTAAACCTTAAGGTAAGACATGAAACCATAAAACTCTTAGAAGAAAATATAGGCAGTACACTCTTTGATGTTGGTCTTTGAAAGATCCTTTTGAATATAATGTCTACTTGGGCAAGGGAAACAAAAGAAAAGATAGACAAATGGGACTTCATCAGACTAAAGAGCTTCTGCAAAAGGAAAGTAAACCAGGAACAAAATGCGAAGACAACCCACCAACTGGGAGAAAATATTTGCAAATAATATCTGACTAGAGGTTAATCTCCAAAATATATAAAGAAATTATACAACTCAACAACAAAATACCAAACAACTTGGTCAAAAAATGGGCATAGGATGTGAATAGACATTTTTTCAGGGAAGATATACAGATGGCCAACAGGCACATAAAAAGATGTTCAACATCACTAATCATCAGGGAAATGCAAATCAAAACTACAGTGAGATATCACCTTACACATTAGAATGGCTATAATTAACAAGACAAAAAACAACAAATGTTGGAAAGGATGTGGAGAAAAAGGAACACTTATACACTGCTGGTGGAAATGCAAACTGGTGCAGCCACTATGGAAAACAGTATGAAGATTTCTCAAAAAATTAAAAGTAGAAATACCATAGGACCCAGTTATCCTACTACTGAGTATTTATCCAAAGAACTTGAAATCAACAATACAAAGAGACTTATGCACCCCTATGTTCACTGCAGCATTATTCACAATAGCCAAGATGTGAAAGCAACCCAAGTGCCCATCGACTGATGATTGGATAAAGAAAGACGATGTGGTATATAAATATAATGGAATACTACTCAGCCACAAAAAGACAAAATCATCCCGTTTGCAACTACATGGATGGACCTTGAAGGTATTATGTTAAGTGAAATAATCCAGACAGAGAAGGACAAACACTGTATGATTTCACTCATATGTGGAAGGTAAACAAACACATGGACAAAGGGAACAATTTGGTGGTTACTGGAAGGGAAGGGGGTTGGGGGATGGGCATAAGGGGTAAAGGGGCACGTATATATGGTGACTGATAAATAATAATGTTGGACCGAAATTTCACAATGTTATAAACTATTATGACCTCAATAAAAAAAAAATGTACTTTGCTATTGCTTTTAAACAAAGCTCCTGCTCATTAAGGACATTTTTACTCTGTGAAGATTCATACACACAAACCATGCTGAGTGCTGCGGAAATATACCCTCAAATGCCTCCCATGACCTTTGCCATCTCTTGTAGAGTGTGATCAACAAGAGCCTCATGAACAGCCTTTCACAGCATGGCCTGCTCAAAGAGACTATAAAATTCCAGGTAAATTAAAAATTTTTTTGACATGGTTTCCTAAAATTAGGTCTTGCCATAGAAGAACACAGCATGTGATCTCCATTTAGTCAAGACCTGTGTTATTTCCTTTGATAGAATTTACAGACTTTGTATGATTGCTACAAATTCTTGAGGCACATTCCTATAGATTTATACATACAGATATATATACATATATCTGTGTATTTTTTGCTTCTCTTTTGGATATGACATCAAATAAAGCTGTTGAGACTTATCAAATTATTTTGCTAGACACTTTACTCTTTCATCAGTTCTTTTTTTATTTGATTCTTTCGTGTTCTTTAGGTTGATCATTGACAGATAATAATAAATTCAAAATAATTCTTCAGTATTTACAATTTCTATTCCTTTTTTTAACTTATAACATCAGTTCAAACTTCCAGAGCAATGTTAAATATTGGCAGTGATGGTGGTCATTCCTGTCTTATTTAGGAATCTGAGATTCTTCTAGTGTCTTACCATCAAGTTTGTCATTAGTTTCTAATCAGTTTTCTTTATAATGCTAGTTAAATTCCAAAATTTCTCTGAGTTTTTATCACGAAAGGATATTTAAAATTATCAAGTGCCCCTTTGACCCTTACTGGATTAAGCGGTATTTTCTTCTGTTAATCATGATTGCCATTTGTTTATGGAGAACCTGAGACTTTTGTTCGGTAGTATCTTGCTTTCTGTGTTCAGGTCATTGTTTCCTCATGGAGCCCTTGACCTCTCATTCTTCTGTTCCCTGTATTTCCTATACACGACCAGCTCCTTCCGGAGGCTGGACTGGATTCAGGTTCGGTTACTTTGGTAAGAGTTCTTCCCAGGTGGTGTTGTTTCTTCCTACTGCATCACATTAGGGATCCCCTACTGTCTGGTTGTACCATTTTTGAGAGGTTAAGTTTGATCAGAGGCCTCTGGTATTGTTAGTCAGCAATATATTTCATTATAAAGTTCCCATTAACCTTTTCCCTAATGGCTTTAGCATTTGTAACAATTCTGTCAATCTATTATTTTAATAGGAGTTGCAAAATAGTGATTTTAAAAAAATCTAAAGAAATGATGGATGGCAACTAGACTTTTGGTGGTGATCATGAAGTCGAAATATAATGGCAAAAAATGTCTGTTATTAATTTTTCCACTTAGTAGCTGAATTTTTCCATAAAGAGAAACTTAGGTCACCCTGAAATGCAATTAGTACAGGAAAGGCAGGATAACTGCTTGCTTTTCCTCTTACTTACCATTTGTTAGAACAACTAGTTGGTGCCCTGGTGACCTTAGAGAAAAAGAGGGAGGAGGTAGCTAATGTGGTGCTCCATCCAGCCAGGTGATGATTTTTGCTGCATTTCCTATTTCTGTCAACAAATGGGAATATCACAGAGTATTTTCACTTTTAAACTGTTGGAAAGTCTCTTAATTAGGGTCAGTAAATAACACTGGAGGGAGGAATTTTGTTCATCTCTATGAGTGGTAGATAACCTTCATCCTGCCTTACTAATTTTCCTTGTCTTCACCTCCACTTAATTCTGGTTGGAACATTTAGGACAACCACTCCCTGGAGGCATAAGGCAGTTTCATTTGTCTCAGGATGTTTTTTATCATTTGTTTTGGGATTCATGATTGATCAAGTGATATTTTACCATTTCCCCTATTTGCTGAGTAAGATGATAGAGCTTCCGGGGCTGGGCTGGTGGTGTAGTGGTTAAGTTCGCATGCTCTGCTTCAGTGGCTGGGGGTTTGCAGGTTTGGATCCTGGGTGTGGACCTACATACCATTCATCAAGCTATGCTGTGGCAGCATCTCACATATAAAAATAGAGGGAGATTGGCACAGCTCAGCAACAATCTTCCTCAAGCAAAAAGAGGAAGATTGGCAACAGCTGTTAACCCAAGGCCAAGCTTCCTCATCCAAAAAAAAAAGACTATGTAGCTTCATGTTGGGGAGAACATGTTACATATCTGGGGCCAAGATACTGGGATGCCTATATCCCTGCAGGAACAGATACAAAGCTACTTGTTAGGTTCTTTATATTCCAAAATTTCAAGAGGCCCTAAGAAGTAGCTCAAGAAACCAGAAGGGATGGACCCTACAGAGAAACAGCAAAAGCTGTCTCCATTCTTACTTCCTTAATAATAGCAATAACTTTATTATGGAATATGGGTGATAATGAGGAGGATGATGGTGACGGTGACAATGTTGATGACGATGATGTATGTGTGCTTTCATGTGGATATGAATTGGAAGTGATTATAAAAGATGGATTAATTTGGGGAAAGCATCTAGCCTGTATTAATCTGGATTTTGTGAGTCAGGGAGTAGGCAAAACAAATTTTCAAGCCTAGATCCGTGCATGTAAGTAGCATCTACCGTTACAACAGCCTCTGACATTCTACGTGATGTGAATCATCCGGGTAGACAGCAACTGTTCCAGCCGATGTTTGAGGTTCAATTCAGGGCCCATTGAGTCATTTTGAGAAAGAGTTGGCCCAAATCAGGAAAGTTTGTCTTCAGGTTTGTCCTGCAAAATCAACGTGCATTTTAGATCAAGGCTCCTTTTTGTCTTATTCATTGGAGAAATAGATGACGCAAAAGAAAAAAACCACACATTAGAAACAGGATGGACTCCACATTGTAGTTAGTGTATAGAGCACATGCTGTAAAACCTAACAGATAGGAACTGATGGAACACCCACTGCGTGCCAGAAACCACACAAAACTCTGCAGATAGAGCAGTGGATGGGCTTTATCCCTGCCTCGAAGGAGTTTATTAGGCTATAATAAGAAATGCAGCACATAAATGGGCAACTACAAAGGATATGATAGTGTTTCAATAAGGATACAGCTGGGCTTCTCAGGGAGCTCGCAAGCAGAGTACCTAATGCAATCTTGGGGGGCTCAGGAAGAGGACCCCATAAGGGACATCTGAGATGAGATCTGCTGATGGGAGCAAGGATAAGAGACATCAAGGAACCCCATGTACAAAGGCCCTAGACCATCAGAATCCTATGTTCCTCAAGTTGTAAAGTATGAGGTGGGTCTGGAGTGGAGAATGGAGTGAGCAAAGCTGTAAGACATGAGCCTGGAAAAAATGGCAGTGAGCAATCGCGTTCAGCCTTGTAAGTCAGTAAGAAGTTCGGATATTCTTCTGAGGATGATGAGCTATTGAAGGGAGTGACATAAGTCAGGTCGATGTTTTAGAAAGGTTCCTCTGTCCCATAATAAGTTGTGAAACGAAAGACAGCATTTCATTTTCTTTTTCCATGCTTTCAGACATACATGCCATCCACAGGAGAGGGCAGACCAGCGTCTGTGATGTTTAGCTAAAGGTGAGAGCAGGCTAGCCCCCAGCACCTTCTCTGCCGCACACCTTCCTCCCTCTCCATTATTTCTACCAATTGCATGAACTCAACCTCGGGCACAATCCTTCATGGTCGTTTAACCAATAGGGAACCTCCATTACCTAGTAAATCAAAAGAATAAATAAAACTAACTTTGCTGTCCTCCGGAACAACTTAGAAACTATTGTTTTTCTAAGACACGGAAGCTGCCAACTTGTGGGGACAGTTGTTAGGAAACATCAACTCATGCATTTTTTGTGTCAGAGAATGGGAGATTAAAGAGCAAAACCAAAAGGAGTTATCTAGAAGGTAGGATCAAAACACAGTTAGATACGGGCAGAGATAAGAAGCTTCCTGAACTTAAGAGGCTTCTGAATATGAAGTGCTTTGATTGGCAGGAAAACAAATGGGGAAGAAAAGGCAAAGTAACCAACTTCAAGTTTTTTGCGTGTAGTTTCAATTTAGAGTTAGAACAGAGGATGAGAAGTATACCTTTCTAATTGTAGAATCTTAAGGGGAAAAAGAGAGAGACAGAACAATATCTGAGTTTGGAATGAGGATGAGTCGCTAAAATGGTAAAGATGCTTCCAGAAGTAAGTACACTTCTTGACTGGTTTTAATCCTTCAAAAAACCCTGCTGAGTGAAATATTAGTGATCTACTTTGGCTCCTACCTGAAGGAGCTCTGGTGCAGAGAAGCGCTCAAGAGCCCAGGACGAGTCAGCTCTGGGCCGAAGGCCCCGCTGCTCCTTGGTGCTGACTGAGTACTGCGGGGAGATTGCCAGTGACAGAAAGGGGTGAGGCGAAGAGGCCACGAAAAACAGCAAGGCTTCACCAAGATACACTGGGAAAGAACTGAGAGCCAGCAGAATTCTCACGTCTCAAGGTTAGTAACCTAGAAAAAAGGTCGGATGTGTCTGAGTTCACACTTTTAAAGTTAATAGTGTGCGGAAGAGTGGGGCTGTCGATAAAATGGCACGACAAGCAGATACAGCAGGAAAAGAGAGCTATGGGAAGCCTGTAATTAGCTGACAGGCTGATGCTCTATAAACCTGTAAGTTCAATGATGGGTGTAGTTTAGTAAAAGGGTGTCGTTTAAGTACTGTTTCTCAGCCGATTTCTAGAATCGTATTTATAATAGGTCTGATAGCATGGTTGGAGAATAAGAAGACTGAGCTAATTTTCCTGTGTCTGGGCTGTAAGGCTTAACCTTGCTGCCCTCAAGGAACACGGAGCAAGAATGAACTTATATACTTAATGTTCACCATCCAACTGTTTATTCTCCTATGCAAGGGTTGGCGAGCTTTTTCTGTGAAGGGTCGGATAGTATTTTGGGCTCTGGAGGCAAGATGATCTCTGTCACAACTGTTCATCATACCACAAAAACAGCCATAGACAATATGTAAACAATGGGCGTGGCTGGGTTCCAGTTACACTGCTCATGAAGATCTGACAGAAGGCTGGATTTGGCCCACGGGCCGTAGTTGGCAGAACCCTGTCCTTGAGGATCCCCACCAAATCCAAACTGATGTCTCTGCTTTGACTGGAAGGGAGTTTTTACTGTTCGCTCAGAGGAAAGTCTAACTCCTGGGGGCAGGTCTATGACTTGCTGGAGTTCTAAGGGCATCACGGTCTGAGGGAAACCACAAGTCCTCAATGGAAAGACTCTCTTAAGGAGACATTTTGAGGCAGGGGGCAGAAACCTAGATTGTAATGCTCCTGCCGAAGTCTTGCTGAAAGCATGAGCCTCTTAATAGCGGGACATCCCAGCCAAAGGCGTGGAGTCAAACTCCTGCATCTGAAAGAAAGGGAGGGAACAAAGACCCCACACCCGTAATCTTACCAGCCCCAGTCATTTGTCCTCAAAGTTTAGCACAGGCTTTCTGTTTTACAATCCTCTTCTTTCCAGTGTGTCAATAGGTGAAGAAGTGAGGAAGGGAAGTGAGGAATAGAATCAGAACAGGAACAGATTGCTCATCATACACGTCAAGTGTTTCAGCTGGAGAGGGGAAGGCGGGCTTGGGTAACTGAGCAGAGACTAGAATCCCCCCAAAGTTCAGAAAGGGCAGAGATATGAGGGAAAGCAGAGCATGTCACAGAGAGCAGAAGCAATGAAGCTGGGGAGATGGAGAAATGTCTGTGAGGACAGCCTGAAAGAAGGAAATAGCACGTCTCAACATTGTCACCCAACCCAGGTCACCAGGGAGCCTGCAGTCCGAGGCAGGCTTGTGAGATGAATTCCAACTTACGTGGTTAGCAGAGATGTGTCAATAGTAGAGAGATCCAGTAATATTTTGATTAATGACTTCCTTGAGGATGAGGCTCTTTTATACAGACAGCTCTATTAGAAAAAAATCTTCAAGCCAAAATCTCTTCATAAATCATGCAAAAAATCGCTGCCTACACAACAGAAATAGCTCAAGCGCAGTCTCTATTTGTCTTTGGTTAGATGTTGATAAATAGGGCTCATCCTTAGCAAAGTTGTAACAGCTGAACTTTATCTTCAGCTGCAAGTCTTTCTGCACCTTTCCTTCAGATCTATGACCTCTCAGTCCCTTGATTTCAGACTCTTCGCAATGCCGGTGCACTTATGCTCTCTTCTTCTCTTCGCTGACTTGACTTGGGACGCCTCGGAAATGGAGGGGTGGCTGCAAGTTATTATCAACTAGCACCCCTTCCCAACAACCCTCCCCACACCTGATTCCCTACTCCCAGGGGGAGGGAGTTCACTGAGGGGCTGGTGGTAGGAGCCCTTGAGAGCGGAAGAGGCTATGTGACTTGGAATTTCTTTTAGGATCCATAGTGAGTATGCTGGAGTAGACATCTCCTTTGTCCCTTTGTGCCTCTTACCTCTCATCAGCACCTCTCATACTTTACCCAACCCTTACCTCCTTTCTTTTCCTGGTGATACACACACTCACGTATGCACACACACTATATAGATATATATGTGTTTGGCATTTGTTTAATAAGCACTTAATAATTTGATATAGCATAAATCATTTGTCTGACACCCTGGACTCTGAGCTCCCACATTACTTGTTTCCAGCCGTGATCACAAAGCTGTGACTCAGAGTGCACCACCGGACTCTGGTCCTGGAATGTGCCGTGAGGCATTTGCAGACTGGCTGGTTGGGGGATCAAGTCATGTGAATAAATGCAAGGCCAACAGCGAAATACAGTGGCTCCTGCAGCTGAAAGACCCGAGGTGGATTTGCATTCTTGCTATTCACGAGCAGGAATTTTTTTTTATTGAGGTAAAATTCACATAACCTTAAAATAACTATTTTAAAGTGTACAATTAAGTCGCATTTAGTACATTTGTAATGTTCTGAAATTACCACCTTTATCAAGTTCCAAAACATTTTCATCATCATGAAAGAAAACCCCATAGCTTAAGCAGTCATTCCTCATTTGCCCCTCCTACCAGCCCCCGGCAGCCACCAAGCTGCTTTCTGTCTCTATGGATTTACCTATTCTGGATATTTCATGTAAATGGAATTCTACAATATGTGAACTTTCGTGTCTGTGTTTTTCCATTTAGAAAAATGTCTTCAAGGTTCATTTATGTTGTAGCATGAATCAGTACTTCATCCTTTTTTATAAGTGAATAATATTCCATTGTGTGGATTTGCTACAATTTGGTTATCTATTCTTCTGCTGCTGGATATTTGTTTCTACCTCTGGCTCTTAGGAATAGAGTTGCCATGAACGTTGGTGTACCAGCATTTGTTTGAGCACTTATTTTCAGTTCTTTGCGGTATAACCCTAGGAGTGGAGTTGCTGGGTCACATGGTTGTCTGGTTTAACTTTTTGAGGAACTGCCAAACTGTTTTCCAGAGCAGTTGCACCATTTTACATTCCCACCAGCAATGCACAAGGGTTGCACTTTCTCTACATCCTCTCCAACACTGTTATTTTCCCTGTTTTTGATTGCAGCCATCTTAGTGAGTGGGATTATAGCCAACCCTGGGGTTCTAGTGGTTAAGATTCAGTGCCTCACTGCTGCCCCCTGGGTTTGTTTCTCAGTGAGGGAACCACACCCATCTGTTGATTGTCATGCTGTGGCAGCTACGTATTGCGGGGATGCTGAAAGCTATGCCGCTGGGATTTCAAATACCAGCCGGCTCACTCATGGTGGAGAAGTTTCAGCAGAGCTTCCAGACTAAGACAGACTAGGAAGAAGGACCTGTCCACCTGCTTCCCAAAAATTAGCCATGAAAACCCTATGAGTAGCAGAGAGCATTGTCTGGTACAGCACCGGAAGGTGAGAGGATGGTGCAAAGGACTTGGTAGGGCTCAGCTCTCGTGTCCACAGGCTCACGAGGAGTCAGAATTGACCAGACCAACAAGCGGTGGGGGTGAAGCGGTATCTCTTTGTGGTTTTGATTTGCATTTCTCTAAAGACTAACGATGTTGAGCATCTTTTCATGTGTTTCTTGGCTATTTGTATATCTGCTTTGGAGAAATGTCTCTTCAAGTCCTTTGCCTATTTTTAAATTGAGTTGTTTGTCTTTTCGTTGTTGAGTTGTAAGAGTTCTTTGTATATTTTGTAAACTAGACCCTTATCAAATGTATGATTTGCAAATATTTTCTCCCATTCTTTAAGTTGTCTTTTTACTTTATTGATAATGTCATTTTATGCACAAAAGTTTTTAATTTTGATGAAGTCAGATTTATTTTTCTTTTATTGACCATACTTTTGGTGCCATAGCTAAGAATTCTTTGCTGAATCCAAGGTCATGAAGATTTATCCCTATGTCTTCTTCTAAGAGTTTTATAGTTTTAGCTCTTATATTTAGGTTGCTGATCCATTTGAGTTAATTTTGTATGTTGTGTGAGGTAAGGATCCAACTTTGTTCTCTTGAGTGGGGCTATCCAGTTGTCCTAGCACCATTTATTCAAGAGACTACTCTTTCCCCATTGAAGGGCCTTGGCACCCTTGTTGAGAATTAGTTGGCCATAGATGTATGGATTTATTTCTTGATTCTCAATTCTGTTCCATTGGTCTATGTCTATCCTTATTCCAGTATCACATTATTTTGATTTCTGTAGCTTTGTACTAAATTTTGAAATCGATAAGTATTAGTCCTCCAACTTTTTCTTCTTTTTCAAGGCCCTTTGCAGTTCTATGTAAATTTAAGGATCAGCTTTTCCATTTCTGTAAAAAAGGCTATTGAAATTTTGATAAAGATTGCATTGAACCTGTAGATTGCTTTTTCCCTTGCAATTTAGATGCCGTTTCTTTCTTTTTCCTATCTAATTGCTCTGACTAAAACTTCCAGTACAATATGAATAGTGGTGGTGAAAGCGGGCATCCTTGTGTTCCTGATCTTAGAGGGAAAGCTTTCACCATTGAGTATGGCATCAGCTGTGAGTTTTTCATACATGTTCTTAAGTAGCAGTGATTTAAGTTCTCTGAGCATGTTTTCTCGCCTGTCACTTGCTTTTTTTCCCGACAGATCCATTCGTTGACCTTTTCTAACATGTCTACAAGGGCCTCATTTCCTCCAAGTTTCAGCTTCAGTCAGGCAGCCTCCATAATGAGCAGTCCTGGCTCTCCCTAGGCCTGTTAACCCTAAGGACAGAAATAGATTCCTCCTTACGCTCCTCTTTGAGTTGTTGCCTCACCCCTGTTTGGCTGTTTTTGCTTTTCATCACCCCCCTAGTAGTTTTTCTTATGAAATATCTTCTACTGAACCATTGGGTATGGGGTCTGTTTTCCTAACTGGACTCTCACTGGGACACATGGAGTCAAGGAAATCTATTATTGTTACATGTCTATATGGTAATAGATAATGGCCTGGCAGTCTGTTCATCTCTCTTCAGCTCCATGGGAATCATCCTAGTCCAAGCCACCAGCCTACCCTGCTCAGATTATGGCAATAATGTCCTAACAGCTTGATATCCTTTTTTGCTTTTCTCCAATCTAGTTTTCAGCAGCAGCCAGAACAATTGTATTAGTTCAGATATATATGGATGCAGGTAACAGAAATTAGTTTTTTGGTTTATAAGATATGGAAATTTATAATCTCACACAATTTGTTCAGACTCTAGTGTTGGTAGATTTAGTAGCTCAGTGATGCCATCTGAGACCCAAGTTTATTCCCATCACTTTCTGCCATCTGCTTTGTCCTCAGGCTAATTTTCTTCAAGATGGCTGCCTCTAGTAACTGGGGCAACATTTTTTCTTGTTCACATACAATAAGATTCCAATATGAGAGAGAGAAAGAGAGAGATTGAGAGACAGAGGGAGAGGAGGGAGACCTGTCTTTCTGACATGGAATGGAAATAATCTCCTGTACTCTGATTGGGACAACTCAGTCTGCAGTTGCCTTCTCCGCTCCAGCCTCCCGCATTAATCAGGGTTGTTAGCGGAGTGGCTTAGATTTGTCGTAATATCCCTGTGAGCAGGAGAAGGAGTGGATACCCAAACAAAATCAGGTTTCTGTTAAGAGTAAGGAAAGGGAAATGTGTGATGTTCGGTTATCTTTCTAAGAATTTAAATTGGATCGTGTCATTCTGGTGCCTAAAAGTCTCCAGTAGCTTTTACTTGCCCTTAGAATCATATCAGAAAGTCTACAAGGGCAAACAATCTCACACCATCTATCTACGCAGTCAAATCTCTGTCATCTTTTGTCTCAATTGTTCCAGTTACAACAACTTTTTAAAAAGTTCTTTTCAGAGTTATGTTTATTTCTACCACAGACGTATGTCCAGGAATTGTGCTTCGTGCTGGAGTTACATATGTGAGCAAGATGCCGTGTCTTCTGACAAGTTTTAACTCCTTTTCACGTCATGCAAGGCACTTTCAATCCAGACCCAATTTCATTTTTGTCGCTTCTCCACCAGCTAGACTGAAGTCACACATTTCCTGAAAATGCCCCATGGTTGTCACTCCTTTATCTCCCTTTCCCACTTCTCTAGTTGGAAAATGTTATTTAGGTTGGAAGGCTTAGATCCAGTGCATTTTTTCTAGGAAAACTTTCCCAAATCTATTAGAATGAATTATTCCCTCTCTGGGATGTCATAAAACTTGATCAAATAACTTGTATAGAAATCATCAAATTTCATTATAATAAATTGCTTCTTTAATCTGTTGGACTCAATACATTACACAAGACTTGAGGGCAGAGACCATGTCTTCCTCATGCTTGCATCTCCAGGGCCTAAGCAGGGTACCTGGCACAACTCAGTAAAATTTTCAACAGATTGTTTCATTGAATTACTTAGAAAACAGAGATAACAGATACCTTGTCTAACTATTTCACAAATAATCTCATAGCTGTGAAAGCTTTTGTAAAATAGAATGCTATGTAAGCATAGCATATAACATTGTTATATGTACACATTGTAATTTTGTTCTGACTATTATTACATTGTTGATTTCATGTTTCCTGAAACAGTTCCTCTGTTAGATACTGCTGTTGAGCAGTGAACACATACTAGTAAACTTTTGGATTGAATTACATAGGAGGTTCAGAGTTGGCCTTAGCCAAAATTATCTTTAGTGGTTCTTGCTCCCCTTTTTCCCAATTTTTATCCATCTTTTATTTTTATCCTCTCATCAGGGGCCAAATGCATTTGCATAATTCCTCTTGTTATAGAGACAATAAGATATTTTATACTGACATGGTAATAGGTTCCTAAACAAGTTCTTAAGAAATTGAACTGTTATTGTACAAGAGAGGGCAGGGAACAATGACGAACCTAAGAGACTGGTCGTGTTTTGACATTGTAGCATGATCATATAAGATGTAACCATTGGGGGAAATTGAGTGAAGGGCATATGGGTCTTCTCCGTACTATCTCTGCAAGTTCCTGTGACTTTATGACTATTTCAAAGTAAAAAGTTAAAAAAAAAATCAACCGTAATGGTAGATTTGAACATGCCGAACCACAATGCTTTTGTATCTGGAGGGCCTGCAGTGGTCCCTTCAACACCCTCAAAGCAAATGCCTGAGGTCAGCAAAGGGGTAGAGGTGAGAGGAAGGCCATGCACAGTGGAGCGTCCACACTGTTGGAGCCTCCAAACGCAGGAGCCAAACGCTCCTCCCCTCACCCTTCAGTCTCTGCTCCACTCTCACCTCTCAGTAAAGACATCCTGGGCCTTCTGGGGTACAGGGAAACGCTCCCAGCCCCTTCCTGAGCCCCACTTCCCTGCTTTGTTTTTCCTCGTGCGCTTACCACCTATAACTGGCTATGTTTTTTACTTCTTTATTTTAGTTTCTGTCTCTTCCCACTAGAAAGTAAGTTCCATGATGGCAAGGATTTTTTTTTTTTTTTTTAATTTATTGTTGTATCCTCATTGCTTAGAGCAGAGCTTGGCACAGAGCACATGCTCAGTAAACGTTTGTTCAATGAATGAATCTTTTCAGAAAATGAAAGCTTGAAAATAAGCTACTTCCCCAGGAGAGAAGTAAGTCTATTCTGCCCATCCTTGTACGAGAGCAAACCTAACTTTGAAGCTAAGACCTTTTTCCTGTGTTCATACTTCAGACAAAGAAGACACAACTGATAATATCTGAGAGGAAGGAAATAGTGCATGGTGTTGGGCCTCTTTATATAACACTATAAAAATTTTCTTTTTTATAGACCATCTACCCAAACGGCTTCCAGAGATGGATTATCTTATTTTCCTCTTGGCTATTCTTCATGTATACAAAGGTAAAGATAATGTCTTCATTTAAAAAATTTACTCCTTTTTTGGTCTTACAGTGTGATGTATTCAGAATTTATAATGCTTTTTAGTCGACTTGGATAATTTCTTACTTGTTCAGAAAAACTACAAGTTACAAATATCAATTATCAGCAGTGGAAAGCTTTTTAGACTAAGGTAGAAACTGTTAGGCTTTACAGTGATCTCAATTTACTATCTTGCTAGGTCTTAGAAAGCTTAGAATAAGCTTAAGATGTCTATTTGGTGTTCCAACCATCAAGCCTAATTGAATTAATGTAATGTTGTATATTTCAGTTCTGTGTGAAGAGATGTTTTGGGACACAACTGTTAAACTTGCCAAGAATATGACTCTAGAATGTGTGTATCCTTCAACGGACACCTTAACCCAGATGGAGTGGTTCAAGGTCAATGCAATGGAGAAAGAGTCCCTAGTAATTTTTAACCCTACTTACGGAGCGATCATAAGACAGCCTTATGCTGATAGGGTTTACTTTTCAAATTCAACCGTGACTCCTAATGATATGACCCTGTCCTTTCATAATGCCTCTGAAGCTGATGTTGGCTTCTATTCCTGCTTTCTTCATACTTTCCCACATGGACCTTGGGAAAAGGTGATACAGGTGGTTCCACCCGGTAAGTGAAAATTTTATTTATCTTTTTACCCATCTATGACATTTGATTATATAAAGCCCAAGTAGAAACTATGAAATGCTTTATAATATTTTTATAGAGTTTTCCAATTCCACTTCTAGATTCTATGATACTATTGTTTCAAGGAAATAATTCTGTGAATTAATTTCATTTTTCTTAATGTGCTATCATTTCTGAGTAGAAGCATCTTCCACATTTGAATGTAGTGGGAGAAAGCACAGGTTTTATATTGTCTTAGTGAAATCTTGAGCCTGGATTAAACTGATGTTGGCAACATTTGGGTTCAGGAACCAGAGACCGCCCTCTTTGTGCTTTGTCCCAGCAATGTAGTACCCTTTCCTTTTGCTAGGCACTCGGTGCTAGCTTCAGCTTCTGCATCTTCAGAATCCTTTCTATAAAACTGAATCTAGATTCATTAGTGAATCCTGGGCAGAGTTCAAGCTCTGGCTCCATTTTTGGCCTCACCCAAGTTTCACTGGAGAGAACCCTTCAGAAATCACTAACTGTCATTTCCGAAAGAATTGAATGATATCTTGATGTATTTTCTGCTGTGTCTACAATTGCTTGTGGTTTGGTGTTTGTGCCCTAGTCCTTTGAGTCACATGAGTTGGGTATTGTATGTTGGAAAAACTTAGATTTTCTAGCCTTTACTTCTTATATAACCTATGTGAGCTCTTCGATCCCTCTGAATCTCCGGTTCCTGAATGGTAAATTGTGCTAATAATACCTCCCTCTTTGCTGAATGGTTTAGGATCATATATTTAAAGAACTTGGCTCACGGTGGTCAGAGAATGTTAGGTATTATTATTATCATTATTATTTCCTATGCTTTTTATACAAAATTAACAATGATGAACTTTCAGATGTCAGCAACAGCCTAGGAAAGGAAATAATTTGGAACTGTGTGTTTCTTCTCTGGTGTCTCTCAAATTATATTCCAAATGGGCATCCAGTAGAGCACATTATGTGACACCTGATATAGTGCTTTCTTTTTAAGGGATCCATATTATAAAAGAACAGTTTACAGCATTATGTATGAATATTAAATGGACAGGAGGTAAGAAAATTTCCATGTGTTAGTTTTCCCTTTCTCTTTGGATGTAGCTAAGCTCAAGAATAATTTTGTGCATATGAGTGAGGCTTACAGAGTGCCAATGGGCAAAATCTCTTTAGTTAAACACTCATTTACTAAAGACTTCATTTTGCCTTTCGAGTTCTCATTTGTTGTTGTGTGCAGTCCCCTGTTAGACGTTGTGCACACGTTTTTAGTCCACTTTTGATTAGCCATGCAACTGCAGGAGAGAATTGGAAAGATCTTGAAGTGGAGTGAGCCATTTGACACGTGACCTGAGCCACCAAGGCCAGAACAAGATGGGCTTTCCTCCCTGCCTGGTCGACAAGCCCTTGCAGTTTGAGTCCCAGATCAGGTATTCCAATTTCTGTCAAAGAACAACCAGTTGAAAACAGGTAGAACACTGGTTACCAGGGGCAGTCAGGAGGGGAAAAGGGGAGATGTTGGTCAAAGGTACAAAGTTGCATGGATATAGGATGAATCAGTCTAGAGAGCTAATGTACAGCATGGAGACCATAGTTAATAATACTGTGTTGAATGCTGGAAATTTGCTAAGAGAGTAGATTTCAGCTGCTCTCATCACACACACACACACACACACACAAAAGGTAACGGTGTGAGGAGGAGATATGTTAATTACCTTGACCATAGTAATCATTTATATACATAAATATATATAATCATCATGTTGTATACCTTAAATATATACCATTTTTATTTTTTAAAAAAGAAAACAGGTAGCTGGATCTCTTCTGAAAGTTTAGGATAGAAGATGTATATATTGGATATCTTATTCTGGATAAATGGTACTCTTTATGCAAAATTATGTCAAAATGTGTGTTAACTTCACATAGGCATTTCTTAATTAGTAACTGATTCAGAGGATTTCATGGTAAGAATGGCTGCATTTATCTTACTGCTTCATGCGAAAATATGTAGAGGCGGTTTGGGAAGTGACATTTCAAAGGCAGCCCTTTCAGGCAGAGGTTGTGGTGGAAGTGGGGTCGTGGAGAGAATTACCATAACCCATGTGTCTCTAGCTTTACTAGTCAGTTAAAGCAAATGTGGTTATATTGATGGAAATGTCCCCTGAAATGGGTGGCCCACTCCAAGTACTCCACTACCTAACTTTTCCCGGATGCCTACTGTAAATGAATTAAACAAATGTCATCTCACTGAATACTTATGAAACACCACGGGAGAAGTAATGGGTTTCCATTATACACTGAAGAAACTGAGGTGCGGGGTCATTAACTAACTCAAGGTTGCTAAGCTGCCAATCACAGCCCCAGGGTCAAACCAGTTGATGTTCCTGAAGTGCCAGAAATGAGATGAAGGGGAGCTTGACTCCAGCAGAGCGAACAAGGAGGTTCAAGGAGTCAGGTCAGATTGGACCTTGAAGACTTGGAAGGAGTTTTGTTTTGTTTTGAGGAAGATTAGCCCTGAGCTAACAACTGCCGCTGTTCCTCCTCGTTTTGCTTAGGAAGAGTGGCCCTGAGCTAACATCTGTGCCCATCTTCCTCTACTTTTTATGTGGGATGCCATCAAAGCATGGCTTGATGAGCGGTGCTAGGTCTGTGCCCGGGATCCAAACCTGTGAACCCGGGCCGCCAAAGCAGAGCATGCAAACTTAACTGCTGTGCCACCAGGCCAGCCCCAGGAATTTTTTAAGATAGAGAGACCGGGTAGAGGGAAGGAGAGAAAACAGGGAGAAAAGGGCATCTTAAGGGGTACTGATGGCATGGAGAAAGGCACAGTGCAAGTTTAAAATGCATGCAGTGGTCAGAGAATGGACCTGTTTGACTAGAGCACAGAGCCTCAGCAGGATGTGGTTCTCACTTTGGGCACTGGAGCCCTTCACTGACATGAAAGGTGGCCTGAGAGGAAGAAACTGTGAGGATGGGACCCTCTCCCTGCCCACACCAGCAAAGGGCTCAACATGTAATGCTTTGGGTTCCCAGGTAAGGTTTTCTATGGTAGATTCTATGTTAAAAAGTAAGTTGAGGTCCACTTGGACAGCAGAACATCAGAGAAGAGCCTGGAAATTTAGGATGGCCCAGATCTCACTGCACTTAATGGAGTCTGAACTTCACTCTGTAACATAGACCATGAGAAGTCACTGAGTGTTTTTCAGACGGAGACACAAAATAAACCAAGTTTTTTCACCACCTAGAAGATTAAACAATTTGCAGTCTATAGAAGGGGAAGAGCTTAAGGGCAGAGTGAACAAATACCATTTCATGGATTGGAACACTTATCCACTGCTGGTAAGAGTGTAAACTGGTGTATCTATGGTACTATCAGTGTCGGTAATATTCAAGGTTCTCCAGAGAAACAGAGCCAATAGGATGCTTACGTATGTAGAAGGAGATTTATTATAAGGGATTGGCTCATGAGATTGTGGAGACTGACAAGTCCAAATCTGCAGTGTGGACCAGCCGACTGGAGACCCAGGTAGTGCAGACGAAGTCAGAAAGCAGTCTGCTTTAGAATTCCCTCTTGTCTAGGGACGCCAGTCTTTTTGTTCTGTTCAGACCTTCACCTGATTGGGTGAGGCCTACTCACATTGTGGAGGGCCACCTGCTTACTCAAAATTCACTCATTTAAATGTTAATCTCATCTAAAAACATCCTCCAAATTAACAAATAAAATTAACCATCACATCTATTTTAGAAAATGATATGGTGTTAGCAGGATAAAGAACCCCATATCCTGTAATCCAATAATTCCACTCTGTTAGATATTCCAGTGAGTGCCCACATGTAGGAGACATGCCTGAGAATGTTTATAGCAGGAGTGATTGTAGTAGCAAAAAATTGATAACAACCCAAATACCCCTCAACAACAGAATGGACAACACATTGGAGTCTATTCCTAGAATAGGATACTTTGCATGGCTAAAAATGAACGATTTTTCACTACTCGCTCACCAACAGCAATGAACCTCAGGAGCAACACGTTGAAAGAAAAAAGCAAGTTATAGAAAAGTACAGCAGGTATGATTCCTTTCCTTTAAAGTTTAGAAACATGCAAAACTAAACAATATGTTATTTATAGATACAAATATGTGTGGTAAAACAGCAATGCTCCAAAGCACCGGCAGGAAGGGGATAGAATCAGGAAGGGACACAAAGGTCTTCAAAGTTCTCAGTCATGGTGTTTTTCTTATACAGGTGTTTTATTTCCCACTTGTAACAAAATGTCTTAACAGATCTGGCTTGTGTAAATGGGTGTGCTGACTTGTGGGAGCTGAATGCACTTCTCCATTAATTCAGTCATCAAGTCTTTATGGAGAACCCATTATATTGAAGATAATGTTTGTGGTTCGAAAGATGGAAAGACCTGAGTCTTAGCTCTAAACAGTATGCAGGGTATTAAGGGAGATAAAAGTTGTATATTGCAAATCATAATTTAAAGCAAAGAGTAAGTCATATTGTAGTTCACAGGATAGAATTTACTTTTAAACCAGGAAATTCAGGATAGAGTCCCTGAAAAAGTGAAATTTGCAATTAACCTTCAAGGAGGTACGTCAGAATACTTGGACACAGAGATGGGTGGAGCAGCATTTCAGGAAAATTACTTTAAAAAGTATCTAGAAAATAGGGGCTGGCCAACTGGCATGGTGATTGGGTTCACACACTCTGCTTCTGCCTGGCGGCCCAGGGTCTGCAGGTCCGGATTCCGGGTGCAGACCTACTACCGCTCGTCAAGCCACATTGTGGCGACATCCCACATAAAAATAGAGGAAGAACGGCACAGATGTTAGCTCAGTGACAGTCTTCCTCAAGCAAAAAGAGGACGACTGGCAACAGATGTTAGCTCAGGGCCAATCTTCCTCACACGCACACACACAAAATTATCTAGAAACTAGATAGCTGTGGCTCTGGTTTAACCTACTTTGCAAGATAAT